TTAGTTATTTTTGAAGTATCTATGCCTATCTATATAAATCTGTGTTATTATTATTACCATCACTGTTAACATTTTGCGTAGGTACCATTGTATTGATTAAGTATGTGTCGTAAGTGCAACATATGTTTTAGGCAGCCCACTTGATTTTTTTTTAAATAAAGTGGCTTCTCTCTGTATTGTTAATACAAGAAGTAAGAACATAGTATAGTAATAATACTCCTCTCCCCACTCTAACCCTAAACAAAATACTAGTATAATCTTCAATGAATGGTTTTTTGAGCTATTAGACTTATTTTTAAATTGGTATAAAACAAGTAAACGAAATTATAATTAAAACAAAAAGTGTATAAGAATTGTCTTTCTAGATACTTCAGCAAAAACAAAGTTTACAAAAAAAAATGTTTAATTTTAATATTTCACTAAAACATTATTTATAATGTAGTATAAATTTAATTATATTTGATTTTTGTTTTATTATTTAATTTGTAAATACCTACAGCTAATTTTTTGTTGGTTACATCGAGATTAAGTCAAGTTACGGTAGAATAGCACATTTGTTTTTCGTATATTTTATTAAGCCAAGGTTAAAGACAAAAGGTGTTGGCACCAACAGTAAAAATAAAATACGCAAGTAGGTAATAAACCGGAGTAGTTGGGTAAAAAAATGTTTTATAGAAAAATGCTGCATTAAATAATATTTCTATGCCATACATCGACATGATACGCTACATTCCAATATATTTTTATCTTACTTGTAATAAAAATCAACCATGTTTTCCCGAAAAATAAAATATACGTGGCGTAATGTTTATTTATTCTTTGAAAATTACAATTTACTCGATTCCAGACTCCCGGTGAGACGGGTTAACATTAATGGATTGACCTAAAGTTTGGCATACATTTTTTAGGAATAAGAAAAAATAGGGGGGGGGGAAGGTGAACATTTCTTAAATGATTCTTACGTAATTGTTTATGGCTCAGTATTAGTGTAAAACCCCTTATTAATAGAAACAAATTGGTCATCAATTATTATTAGTCTATTGATCATTTATTTATTTTATTATAATTTAATTATCTAAAGATAGTCCGGTTATAATATTATCCTGGTTCACTATATTTCTTGGGAAGCGAATGCAGCCCGGGAATCCAATTTCATTGAATTGCCAATGATTTGGGTGTTCTCGATAAGAATTTGATACTTTTACTGATTAAATAGTCATTATAAAAGTGTTTGGTAAGGGAGAGTACATTTGTGGAGTCGTCTTTGAGCGGAGTAGTATACCTTTCTTATTGAGATCGGTAGCATTGGAATAGGAAAGCCAAATTAAATGTACTTAACTTCCAATTGAGCTTTGAGTAGCCTCTCAACTAGTGGCCTTGCAGCCAGAGAGCGGATAACCAACAGCTAAGGAGCGTAAAATACAAACATTAGTTTGATTCCGTCTTAATACCGTGAAACACATTGACATTAAATACAAATTACCAATCTATAGTTGTATTATTCTACACTATAAATGTATAACATTAATATAATTCCCTGTCCCTAGTATCCCTGTTCTTTATTTGGGAACGCTATCCTCTTATTCCGCGTATAGCCTTATTAGAGAAGTGACAACAGCTATATTCTTAAAATATTTGTTTGATTATCTGTTATTATTTATCACATTTGACCGCATTCGAACGTGTAAGAAACATTTTTTCTGCGATTTAGTAAGCAAGTTTTCAATATTTATGAAATAATTATTAGAAGTTAGTTTTTATTATAAGTACTGCGTGCATATCAGGGTTAGTTTTACTATTTATTGTTTTCAGTGACGGCCCGTCATGGGAGTATTTGAAACTGAGTTTCCCCTTGAAAATCTTTAGCTACATTTTCCCGAAATACAAAGTATATCCGATACATTTTAACCACAATCGAGGTACGTACAAAACAACATAGCACAACACATATTAGAATAATAATAGAATTAAAAGAGACTAGGGCACGATAGGAATTGCATCAGAAAACAATCCAATATCATATCAGCAAATCCTTTACCACCCCTATTTTATTCTTTTACTTTTATTACTAGATACAAAATAATAAAATACGATAAAACAAAAATAACATTCTAAAAAACTAGTTTTAAAAGTCTTAAAAGTTATATTAAATAAATTATAATTTATTAATATAAAAGTAAAACTATTAAAATTAATAAAAATAATTATTTTTTAGGATTACAAATTGACGGTTTATTTTTTAGATTTGTTTGGCGATATTGTTGAATATTTTTTTAATGTGTAATCCGCTCTGCAATGTACATTTGAAATATTTTAAACAATATCTTTTCGATTGTATGAATAAACAAATGCAAAACCACATTTTTTTTATTATGATAGCGGTTTTATCGATACAGTGTAACCCATCAGGATTTAATAATTTAAGTATCATATTCACATATTTATTCTATATTCATGGGTTCTTTTATTCCATCATGTAGGTATATATTTTTTATTGATAAAAATTAGTAAAATTTAAGTACAAATAAATGAATAATAATATAAATATTTCAATTATGATCAATTTGTGAACATTCGACAAACATGTAAACCATGTCTATGTAGTGTTATGAAATATATTTATCAAATGTTCAGAAAAATCGAGTTTCTTCAATTTAAGATCTAGCAGATAAGTAACATGAATATGAACAGAAATCTGTTTGGTTAGGTAAAAAGGTTTGTCGCGTAGTTGGTGTAGCAAGTATCTTCATTTATCACTTCTATCTACTGATCAGCTCTTGTCTTTCTATATAAATAATATTAAGTTAAATTGTATCTATTGTTAAACTGACTATAGTGAATTTATTTGATATAATACATTTCGAATATAATAATATAGTCTGAAGTGTTTTTGATCTAAATTCTAGAAGGTTATATTAAATTCTGGCGGCACACCCTGTATTCCATAAAAATAGGTCGACCGACGAAAAACATGTTGTTGTACATTGGATTCTTCGCACAAACATTAAAATTATAATTGCACTAGTGCTAAAACAAATTGAATAGCAGTATACCGTATGAAAACTCAACAATAACAAACAAATAAATAACGTAAAACAATATGTTATTGCTAGTTTGTTTGGTAAAACTAAAAAAATTACATACAATTATTTTTCTAATAAACACTATTTAGTACTGCAGAAACCACTCCTCCTGTGTGACTTCAGTTAAGTAGTTTTGTCATATTATTCCGGTATATCAAACTATTTGCGGTTTAAACGAGGCCATGTCGTTCTCTTGGCCTCTGGCGTTGCTAATTGTACTAACAATGGGTTTTTTGCAATACGGCGATTCGTGTGTACGTAGATCATATGCAGAAAAAAAAACGAGAGGACACTATAAACAATTGCTCGATATAGATACGGGATACTCTCACGATGAATTGAAAAAAGTAGATAAAATTAAGTGGTCTTTTCCATGGTCAAAGGTGAATCTTGTAAATGTTACAGACGTTTACAATAGACTCATGTGTAGTTATGTGTTTGATTGTGGTCATTATATGAATTTGATCGAACCACTGTTGACCGAAGAAGGTAAGGATGCGTTAAAGGAACTTGTTAATATTAGGAATGAATCTGTGTTTTTATTCGAAAAAAATGTGATCGACATGTTCAACATTTTATATAATTTCGGTAAGATCAATTCCTTGGAACCGTTATGGCTCGTGTACATGTATTCTATGAGTTTGGGTTCGCAAAACATAAATGACATATTAAACGACGAAGATATACGAATCCGTTTTTTGAGTGATCACAAAAAAGTTTACACCAAACTTGAACAATTCACTAGACAAAAATGCCAGTTTGGAGATAATAATAACAAGTATAACGACAAGAACGTTAATTCTGAATATTTTAAATCTCTGCAAGAACTCCGTGCTATTCCAAAAATATCACACGAGAAAATCAATGCCTCCGTTGTCAAACTCAAGCAGACAATCAACACTAGAATGACTAATTTAACTAAAAGTATAAAAATCGAAGATTGTACATCTTACTTCAAATTTGAACATTTGCTTTTGATATCTGAAATTGAAGACTCCGTTTTGATACAATTGTTGAACGATTTTGCAGAAATTACCGACCAACCGGAACAACAACGTATATTCCGTATGATAAAAGATAAATGCTCCGAAAATCTTAACTTTGAATCGTTTGAGACACTGACCGAAGACGTTGCTGAATGTCATGGTATTTTCACAAACGTTATAAGATATGTTTTACAGTACATCTCGTGGAAACACACAATTGAAATTGGTAAACGCCTAAATTCTGGAACATGGGCAAGTTATAAATATGCTGTCGATCGGATACAGTATTCTAACACGAATATGAGAAGTTATTTCAATGAAATTAAAAAGATTTTAAAATTGAAAGATGATTTTGAATTAGATATTGTTGCTGACGTCTTTTATGAATCAGATGAACCCCAGTTAGCCGATCCAAGTGAAAACCGAAAGCTTCAAGATAAGGTTTTGGAAAAACTCAAAAAAATGAATTCGTATTATATTCAACTAGGCGAAAAACACTTTTCTAAAAATAAGTTCACCGAAAATTATATAGAAGAAAGATTGAAGATGTTAAATGCTAGGGTTAATCCTTTAGAGTATGATATTTACATATTAGAGAGTGAATTAAGTTTTTTATTATTTAAGAGATTTGTAGAAGATTCATTTAAAGGTATTCATTTTAGAGGTATTGATTTTGATGTAATAAAGTCATTTATTCTTTATTCTAGAAAAAATAGTCGATAATTAATTGCATATTGTTTTTTATAAATTTAAATTTCTGTTAATTTTATTAAAATGTTAAATTGTGTTACAATCGGGCTATTTAAATTCTGGTGTTCTTATTCTATGAAGAGTTTTGTTATCATAAACATGTAATTATTTTAATTTTGTGACCTCACATGTTATAATTATTATAAATAATCTTCATAGTTTGCCCAATAACCTAACAGTCTTATATTAATATTATATGCCCTTGCCCTGATAATCCTACCGCTGGTTCGGGACCAATGTAGGGTGATTCGGCTCCATTCCTAGCTAGGAAGTCAGCTTGTTCATTCCCCAGTACACCATAGTGTCCTGGTACCCTAACTAATTTAACCTTGTTGTTCCTAGCCAATGATTCCAGAGCTGTACGGCATTCTGGGACCAATTTTGAAGTTACTTGAGTTTTGATCAGTGCCTTCAAAGCTGCTTGACTATCACTAAGAATAGTAATGTTTCTCCTCTTATATACTGCCAGGTTTTGAGTACATATTAAGATCGCCATCACTTCTGCCTGGAAGACAGTAGGTGTCGTACCTAGTGGTATGCTGATACTAATGTGTGGTTTCTTGCCCCATTCACCAGCACCTACTTTACCCGACATTTTGGATCTGTCTGTATACACTACAAACCCTCCACTCTGTGTCAGGTGGTTTATGTCCCAGTCTTTCCTCAGGGATATTTCAACCTTATATAGACTGCTGTCAAATGTGATTGGTTTGATACGGTCCGAAGGGTAGGCCATTAATTCTCGACTTTTACCTTCTAGTATTTTCCCATGCTCAACTAGTTCACTACTTTTCGTCCAGTCTCCTGAATTATGTAGTCTTAATTCAGTGCCCTTGGCGTGAGCCTTAACCTCCAAGTGAAGTGGAGGTAGGCCCAGTAACGCCTCTAGCGCAACTGTTGGTGCTGTTCTCATCGCTCCAGTGATAGCTAAGCAGGCCATCCTCTGTATGCTACTGAGTTCCTTCCTGGCTGTTACTACTTTTGTTCTAGACCACCAGACCAAAGCTCTATATATCACCATAGGTTTAATTACTGACGTGTATAGCCAGTACATTACTATGGGTTTTAATCCCCAAGTTCCTCCAAGAGCCCTACTGCATGTCCACAATGTGACCATTGCTCTTTTGACCCTATCTTGAACTTGAGCTCGCCAGCTTAGATTTTTGTCCAGGATTACACCCAGGTATTTAACTTTTGGTTTGAATTATTAGAAGTTAGTTTATAGTATAAGTACTGCGTGCATATCAGGGTTAGTTTTACTATTTATTGTTTTCAATGATGGCCCGTCATAGGAGAATTTGTAACTGAGTTTCCCCTTGAAAATCTTTAGCTACTAATAAATAATTATATTAATAATAATAAATAATATGGACATTTTCCCGAAATACAAAGTATATCCGATACATTTTATTGTGTTTTTTTTTTGTCATTATTATAGCCCACGCACTCTATAAACAGTTATTTTGATGGGTTTGTTATGAAATGATTTCCGTCGCCGGTTCAGTGGAACGGAGTTAGGACAACAATCGACCGGTCGTTTAAATCATAACACGTAGTCTACCCTCCTATGCAAAAATGCCGTAACTCGAAAAAAAAAATTGTTAAAAACCGATTAAATCAAGTAAGAAACCATTTTACTAATAAATTAACTTAATCTACAAAGCTGCTGTTTCAACATCGTCGCTAAACCACAATCGAGGTACGTACAAAACAACATAGCACAACACATATTAGTATAATAATAGAATTAAACGAGACTAGGGCTCGATAGGAATTGCATCAGCACACAATCCAATATCATATCTGCGAATCCTTTACCACCCCCATTTTATTCTTTTACTTTTATTATTAGGTACAAAATAATAAAATACGATATAACAAAAATAACATTCTAAAAAACTAGTTTTAAAAGTCTTAAAAGTTATATTAAATAAATTATAATTTATTAATATAAAAGTAAAAATATTAAAATTAATAAAAATAATTATTTTGTAGGATTACAAATTGACGGTTTATTTTTCAGATTTGTTTGGCGATATTGTTGAATATTTTTTTAATGTGTAATCCGCTCTGCAGTGTACATTTGAAATAATTTAAACAATATCTTTTCGATTGTATGAATAAACAAATGCAAAACCACATTTTTTTTATTATGATAGCGGTTTTATCAATACAGTGTAACCCATCAAGATTTAATAATTTAAGTATCATATTCACATATTTATTCTATATTCATGGGTTCTTTTATTCCAACATGTAAGTATATATTTTTTATTGATAAAAATTAGTACAATTTAAGTACAAATAAATGAATAATAATATAAATATTTCAATTATGATCAATCTGTGAACATTCGACAAACATGTAAACCATGTCTATGCAATGTTATGAAATATATTTATCGAATATTCAGATAAATTGAGTTTTTCGGAAACTTTTTCCATTATATGACCCAGCAAATCATTAACATGAATATGTACAGTAGTGCAGCAAGTATTTTCATTTATCACTTCTATCTACTGATCCGCTCTTATCCTTCTATATAAATAATATTAAGTTAAATTGTATCTATTGTTAAACTGGCTATCGTGAATTTGTTTGATATAATACATTTTGAATATAATAATATAGTCTGAAGTGTTTTTACAAAGTCATAGCTAATGGACAGATAAATGAAAAAGAAAAATTTTTAAATCTAACAAATGTATGTAATTAAGAACATATATTTATTGGTAATACAAATTTTCAAAAAATTGAAAAATGTAGTAAAATATGTAAAAAATTTATATTTTCATAGATTATGAGTGTCTTACGTTAGTTGGACCACCCTGTATTGTAGGATTACAAAATTTACGGTTTTTTTTCCACATTTGTTTGGCGCTATTGTTGAATAATTTTTTGACTGTATACCGCTCTGCAATATCTATTTGGAATAATTTAAAAGATATCTTATCGATTGTACGAATAAACAAATGCAAAACCACATTTTTATTACTTTGATGGTGATTTTATCGATACAGTGTAACCCATCAGGATTTAATAACTTAAGCATCATATTCACATATTTATTCTATATTCATGGGTTCTTTTTTTCCATCATGTAGGTATACATTTTTTATTGATAAAAATTAGTAAAATTTAGGTACAAATAAATGAATAATAATATAAATATTTCAATTATGATCAATCTGTGAACATTCGACAAATATGTAAACCATGTCTATGCAATGTTATGAAATATATTTATCGAATATTCAGATAAATTGAGTTTTTCGGAAACTTTTTCCATTATATGACCCAGCAAATCATTAACATGAATATGTACAGTAGTGCAGTAAGTATTTTCATTTATCACTTCTATCTACTGATCCGCTCTTATCCTTCTATATAAATAATATTAAGTTAAATTGTATCTATTGTTAAACTGGCTATCGTGAATTTGTTTGATATAATACATTTTGAATATAATAATATAGTCTGAAGTGTTTTTACAAAGTCATAGCTAATGGACAGATAAATGAAAAAGAAAAATTTTTAAATCTAACAAATGTATGTAATTAAGAACATATATTTATTGGTAATACAAATTTTCAAAAAATTGAAAAATGTAGTAAAATATGTAATAAATTTATATTTTCATAGATTATGAGTGTCTTACGTTAGTTGGACCACCCTGTATTGTAGGATTACAAAATTTACGGTTTTTTTTCCACATTTGTTTGGCGCTATTGTTGAATAATTTTTTGACTGTATACCGCTCTGCAATATCTATTTGGAATAATTTAAAAGATATCTTATCGATTGTACGAATAAACAAATGCAAAACCACATTTTTATTACTTTGATGGTGATTTTATCGATACAGTGTAACCCATCAGGATTTAATAACTTAAGCATCATATTCACATATTTATTCTATATTCATGGGTTCTTTTTTTCCATCATGTAGGTATACATTTTTTATTGATAAAAATTAGTAAAATTTAGGTACAAATAAATGAATAATAATATAAATATTTCAATTATGATGAATAAATAGATGATAAATTTGTGAACATTCGACAAACATGTAAACCATGTCTATGTAGTGTTATGAAATATATTTATCAAATGTTCAGAAAAATCGAGTTTCTTCAATTTAAGATCTAGCAGATAAGTAACATGAATATGAACAGAAATCTGTTTGGTTAGGTAAAAAGGTCTGTCGCGTAGTTGGTGTAGCAAGTATCTTCATTTATCACTTCTATCTACTGATCAGCTCTTATCTTTCTATATAAATAATCTTAAGTTAAATTGTATCTATTGTTAAACTGACTATAGTGAATTTGTTTGATATAATACATTTTGAATATAATAATATAGTCTGAAGTGTTTTTGATCTAAATTCTAGAAGGTTATATTAAATTCTAGCGGGACACCCTGTATTCCATAAAAATAGGTCGACCGACGAAAAACATGTTGTTGTACATTGGATTCTTCGCACAAACAGTAAAATTATAATTGCACTAGTGCTAAAACAAATTGAATAGCAGTATACCGTATGGTAACTCATCTACAACAAACAAATAACGAAAAACAATATGTTATTGCTAGTTTGTTTTGGTAAAACTAAAAAAACTACATACAATTATTTTTCTAATAAACACTATTTAGTACTGCAGAAACCACTCCTCCTGTGTGACTTCAGTTAAGTAGTTATGTCATATTATTCCGGTGATATCAAATTATTTGCAGTTTAAACGAGGCCATGTCGTTCTCTTGGCCTCTGGCGTTGCTAATTGTACTAACAATGGGTTTTTTGCAATACGGCGATTCATGTGTACGTAGATCTTATGCAACAAAAAAAACGAGAAGACACTATAAAAAATTGCTCGATATAGATACGGGATACTCTCACGATGAATTGAAAAAAGTAGATAAAATGAAGTGGTCTTTTTCATGGTCAAAGGCGAGCCCGAGAAATGTTACAGACGTTTACAATAGACTCATGTGTAGTTATGTGTTTGATTGTGGTCATTATATGAATTTGATCGAACCACTGTTGACCGAAGAAGGTAAGGATGCGTTAAAGGAACTTGTTAATATTACGAATGAATCTGTGTTTTTATTCGAAAAAAATGTGATCGACATGTTAAACATTTTATATAATTTCGGTAAGATCAATTCCTTGGAACCGTTATGGCTCGTGTACATGTATTCTATAAGTTTGGGTTCGCAAAACATAAATGACATATTAAACGACGAAGATATACGAATCCGTTTTTTGAGTGATCACAAAAAAGTTTACACCAAACTTGAACAATTCACTAGACAAGAATGCCAGGTTGGAAATAATAATAACAAGTATAACGACAAGAACGTTAATTCTGAATATTTTAAATCTCTGCAAGAACTCCGTGCTATTCCAAAAATATCACACGAGAAAATCAATGCCTCCGTTGTCAAACTCAAGCAGACAATCAACACTAGAATGACTAATTTAACTAAAAGTATAAAAATCGAAGATTGTACATCTTACTTCAAATTTGAACATTTGCTTTTGATATCTGAAATTAAAGACTCTGATTTGAGACAATTATTGAACGACTTTGCAGAAATTACCGACGAAGCGGAACAAGAACGTATATTCCGTATGATAAAAGATAAATGCTCCAAAAATCTTAATTTTGAATCGTTTGAGACACTGACCAAAGACGTTGCTGAATGTCATGGTATTTTCAGGAATGTTATAAGATATGTTCTACATTACATCTCGTGGAAACACACAATTGAAATTGGTAAACGCCTAAATTCTGGAACATGGGCAAGTTATAAATTTGCTGTCGATCGGATACAGCATTCTAACACGAATATGAGAAGTTATTTCAATGAAATTAAAAAGACTTTGAAATTGAACGATGATTATGAATTAGATATTGTTGCTGATGTCTTTTATGAATCAGATGAACCCGAGTTAGCCGATCCAAGGGAAAACGAAAAGCTTCAAGATAAGGTTTTGGAAAAACTCAAAAAAATGAATTCGTATTATATTCAACTAGGCGAAAAACACTTTGCCAAAAATAAGTTCACCGAAAATTATATAGAAGAAAGATTGAAGATGTTAAATGCTAGGGTTA